TAGGAAAAAGCAATTCCCTTTACCCTTTTGAAAGCAAATACCACTTTTTCAATCAATGTTCATCGGCAGGGATGCACTTTTCAATCGTCAGTCATTAATTGCGTCTTTAAAAGGTGTTGGCAGTTTTAACGTCATCTACGCTGATAATGTGTAGCCCGACCTCCAAAGAGGGGTCGCTGCTGCAGAAGACGCATTACAAATCACCTGTTTCGCAGCCCTTGGAGACAAGGACATTTAGAGACATTCGCTCGGTATCATCTCCCTAAGTAATCATTATCAGAACCGTTAGCCCTTCATCTTCACTGAAGATATGCCATGTTATTCTCATGATTTTATTACTTTTTCTTTTAGCCAGCGTACGCGCGAGGAATATCATACCTCTCTACAGCCAGTCATCACACCCATTGCCCGCACCTTCTGTATCCTGTATTGGTGCTCTATAACCAATGATATGGTCCATCCACCTATAAACACCATATATCACCATCATTATCTAGATGAATATTGTATAAGCGTGCAGTCTTTCGATACTGGCCGAAACCATCCTCGGCACATAATGCCTTCAAAACGTTGCGTTTTGTACCGACGACTAGTCTTGAAGACCAATTCTTAGAAGCGTTATCAAAATAATCGTTTGTTAGTTTTTTTTTCGATTTGCGAACTTTTTCATAATTTATTAACCTAACCCCTTTCCTCAGAGCAGACAATCTGAGAACTGGCTAACATCCCTGTTTTTTTCGTTCTCCTCCTCGGCTTGTAGCCCCGTGTGGAATTTTACTCACGCCAACTTTAACTGAAGCCTTAATTCCCCCTATACAGGGTCAGACTTTTCCCGCTATTTGGGCTTTCACCCTGTTACTTCCATGTACACTTCTAAATTTTTTAAAGCAGAAAATAGCTGTTCCGGATCACGTGCGTTTTGTTAAGCTTTACTTTAGAGAGTATAGCAATTTTGCCGACGCGTGCATCAATATCTCCTGGTCTATTTACTAACAATATAGTTGACATACTGCACAGGAGGAGGAGGAGGAGGAGGAGGAAGAGGAACAGAAGAAATTAAAGGCAGGGAGGTCAACCAGGTGCCCGTCCGGTTTGCTACCTGTAACCGAGTTGGCACGGCCGTGATAGCGAGCGCAAGCTGTCGCTCCTACGTAAGCGTGACGTCACCCGCCTGGCCTTCTTAAACTCGTCACTATAGGCAATAAAGCGTTGTTCGACCCATGATATCGTCTCGTACACATGGTGGCAGCGGAAAACAGCCAGCATGACGACACCGCCTACGTTGCCGACAACGCCTGCATTGCCGACAACGCTCCTGCCGCCTCCGAAGCCCCTCGACACATCGCGAGACGCTTGGCTTGGGTGGAAGACCTGGAAAAGTGAGTTTGAACTGTTTTCCACGGCAACTCAGCTGAACAAGCAACCAAAAGAAGTGCAGGCGGCGACGCTTTTAGTGAGCATTGGAGAAGAGGCTAGACAAGTGTTCGCTTCGTTCAAGTTTGAGTCAGGAGACGACACAACCGATGTAACCCTTATAATAAAAAAATTTGAAGACTTCTACCAGCCCGCGAAGAACCTCACTTACCACGAGTTTTGCTTCGGCTCCCGAGACCAAAAAGAGGAGGAAAGTTTCAATGCCTGGCTTGTCTAATTGCGAACGCTAGCCCAACACTGCGATTTTGGAGACTTAGAAGAGCGCATGCTTCGTAGCCGCATCATACTCGGTATCCGGGACAAGGAACTGCAAAAGAAGTTAATTTCTGAAAACCCCTCTTACCAAATTGTAGTCGAAATCTGTCGCATCCAAGAGCAAGGCGAGGAGCAGTTTCGACAGATACGTGGCACCACTGAAGGCGCTGAAACTGCAGCCGTAAATGCGTTGGCCAGAGTAACAAAGCCATGTAACAAATGTGGCTACAAAGTTCACCGTGGCAGCCGCTGCCCAGCAACAGGAAAAGCGTGCAAGAAATGCGGAGGATTGAATCATTTCGCCCAAGCATGCTCGCAGTCATCCTTCTTGCACAGCGAAGATGCAAAGCGCAGGGAAATACGAGAGCTACATGTTGATGAAAGGTCAGATTTTTTTCTGGACGCTTTAACCGTGAACGCACTCGCTAGCGACCAGTGGACCGCGACAGTTTCCATTGAAGGCCGTCCGATGGTCTGCAAACTTGATACTGGGGCAAACTGTTGTGTGATTTCAAAGGAAGATGTTTTCTCGCTTCCGAGAAAGACTCGTGAAGCCTGCCGAGCCACGTTAACGAGTTTTTTCGGCCACAAAACGACTGCGCAGTTTAAAGTAAAGTTGTCGCTATCCGTGAACGATAAACAGCACGATCAAACCTTCTTCGTCATTGAGCAAAACGTGCCGGTGACCCTCAGCGGAGCAGCAGCAGAAAGCCTTGGCTTGATTTATCGCGTTGATAGCGTCGAGACGCAGCAACTCTACCCGGCGGCTCAGCCCTTCACCGATGTTTTCACAGGATTCGGACAGCTGAAGAATTTTGAGTACGAAATGAAGCTCAAACCCGGCGCCGTTGGTGTTGTTGTGCCAGCCAGAAGGGTTCCGGTCGCCATTGAAGAAAAAGTAAAGGCCGAACTTCAACGCATGGAGGAGCACAACGTCATAACCAAGGTAACCGAACCAACAGAATGGTCAAGCTATATGGTAGCCGTAGTTAAAGGTGATAAAGTAAGAATTTGTCTCGACCCAACGGAGCTTAACAAGGTTATTCTGCGTGAACACTACCCTATGCCTGTTCTAGAAGAGGTCGCGCAACGACTAGCTGGAGCTAAATATTTTTCTACCTTGGACGCAACATCCGGGTTCTGGCAAATAAAACTTTCTGACAGCAGCTCCAGATTGTGCACAATGAGCACGCCCTACGGGCGCTATCGGTTTATCCGCATGCCTTTTGGAATTGCTTCCGCCCCGGAAATATTTCAAGCAGCCATGCACCGCCTCTTGCAGGGCCTGTCTGAAGTAGCGGTTGTAATGGACGACATATTAGTCTGGGGCACAACGAAGGAAGAACATGACAACAACTTGACCGGGGTGCTTGCACGCTGCCGTGAGCACAACCTCCGTCTGAACTCGCAGAAAGGTGTCTTTTTGCCGGAGCAAGTTCGCTACTTGGGAAACGTTTTCACCACGCAAGGACTGAGCCTGGGACCCGATCGCGTCCAAGCCATTTTGGATATGCCAGCGCCAAGTAACAGTAAGGAATTGAAAGTCTTCCTCGGAACGATGAATTACGTGCAGCGCTTCATTCCTCGAATGTCCGTACTCACCGCACCACTTAGAACATTGCTGCGCAAAGATATTGCTTGGGTCTGGACAGAAAAAGAGCAATGCAGCTTCAATGAGCTGCGCCAAGCCTTAAAAACAGCGCCAGTGCTTGCTTACTTCGATCCGAAAAAGCCAGTCGGCCTCTCTGTTGACGCCAGCCACATGGGCGTTGGCGCCATTCTGATACAAGACGGCCGCCCTATCGCTTTCTCGTCTAGATCGCTCAGCGATGCTCAGACGCGGTACGCGCAGATTGAAAAGGAAGCTCTGGCGATTGTGCGTGGCTGCGAAAAATTTCACGACTATACTTTCGGCCAATCTGAGGTTACGGTGGAAACCGACCATCGTTCGTTGGTGCCAATTTTCAGTAAACCACTTCACCAGTGCCCACTTAGACTGCAACGAATGCGACTGACATTGCAGCGATACGCCATTAATCTACTGTACAAGCCAGGAAAAGAGCTGTTTTTGGCTGATGCGCTCTCTCGTTTTCCAAGCAAGGCGTTATTGACGGAAGAAACCGAGCGCTTCAATGTTAACGTCATTGCCCTTGTTCCAGCTACTGAGCGTCGCCTCGAGGAACTACGTGTGGCAATCGCCAAGGATCCTGCTCTGTCGACCATCCGATCCTATGCAGAGACTGACTGGCCGGAAAACAAAGAGGACGTCCCAGCATGTGCCAGGCCATTTTGGGCGTATGGAGAAGAGATGCATACACAAGATGGCCTCGTCTTTCGCAGCAACAAGGTAACCGTACCAAGCGCTAAGAGAACTGAAATCCTTCGGCTTCTTCATTTGGCTCACTCGGGGGCAGAAAAGATGAAAATTCGGGCTAGGAGTGTCATGTTTTGGCCATCCATGTCGAGTGACATTGACCAGGTTGCAGCATCATGCAAAGTTTGCCAGGCTCACCAAAAGCAAAACACTAAGATGCCTCTACTGCTGCATGATGTCCCCAGTCTGCCATGGGAAATGGTTGGCATGGACTTATTCCATCACGGTGGTAAAGAGTTTGCCTAATTTGTAGACTTCTACTCCTTTTATTTTGAAATAAAGGAGTTTCGATACACAACAGCCCGGCACTTGAAGGAGTGGTGCGCAAAAGTTTTCTGTGTCCACGGCTTACCAGTGAAGCTCTGTAGTGACAACGGGCCCCCTTTTAATAGCCAAGAGTTCCGTGAATTTCTGCAGGAAATGGGAGTCACCCACGTGACGTCAAGCCCTTATCACCCTCGCGCAAATGGCATGGCCGAAAGGGCAGTTCAAAAAGCGAAAACGCTGCTGAAGAAGTGTTCGTATAACAGCCCAGACTTCCGTTTAGCTCTGCTTGAGTTGCGCAATACTCCACGTGATGCTATTTTGATGTCACCTGTGCAGAGGCTGATGGGTCGACAGACGAGAACACTGCTCCCGGTTCCCTCCTGCCACCTGAAGCCGGCACCATTGCCCAACAGGAAGGTGCACTCCCGTCTCCAGGAGATTCGCCACAAGCAGAAGGTCTAGTACAATCGAGGTGCTCGGGACCTGCGCGCCCTCTCACCGGGTCAGAGGGCCTCGTTGTACGACACGCACACACGGACGTGGTCCCCGGTCGTTGTGCTGGGATCAGCGGGAGCTCCACGCTCCGTACTGGTAAAAACAGAAGATGGCCGAGAAATGCTACGCACACGGGAACATCTCCGGGAGGTTCCAGAGCTACCATGCCCCGACACTACCGCAACACCTTCCTCAGGCTTGCCAGGCTCGGGTCCCGTTCCAGAGCCGCCACTACCACGGAGAAGCACTCGGGAACGTCGCGAGCCTCGTCGGTACCCCATGCCAGAGCGACCTATATTGCCCCAAGAAAAGGAAGATGTGACCGAGTTGGCACGGTCGCGATAGCGAGCGCAAGCTGTCGCTCCTACGTAAGCGTGACGTCACCCGCCTGGCCTACTTAAACTCGTCACTATAGGCAATAAAGCGTTGTTCGACCCATGATATCGTCTCGTACACACTACCCTGCACTGGAGGAAGGGGTGAGGGGATTAAAGGAAAAGAGAGAGAGAGAAGTCAAGGGCAACGTGTGTGTAGATGTGACCTTGTCCATTGCACGCCTATAAGTGGTCGCGTAGTCCGGTCGTCTTTTGAAAACTTAGCGAATCCCGCGTCGCTTTGCTGACCTACGACGCGTAGAGTCATGAACCAAGGATCTTCTCTTCGGAAAAAGGTCTACCGTCTAGTGTCTCTAACGTTTCGTGTAGAAAGTTGCGTTCACTCACAAAAAGTTCACATTAACACAGTAGATGTTTTATTGTCTCGTCCGTGTCGCACGATTCCCATCGGGAGCTATCCGCCATTCCTATGCGAAAGCAGCACACCTTCGTGAAAGCTACTCCTAACCACAGGCGGCACAGTAAAGTTGCATCCTCGCTGTAGAGGTCTGATAGAACTTGAAACTTTCTCGATGGGTCCAACTTGTGTAGGCGGCGGTTCCCTACACTGTGGTCACTCAGCCAAGTTTCCGACATAGTGTTAGCGAACGAGTGAAGGCCCCTTGCAGCGTCGGTTCTCGATAATGGAATCGGGGTTGCTTGGACGTCCACGTGGGCGGATCGCGCAGCATTATCAGCAAGGTCGTTACCGACAATACCACAATGTCCCGGTAACCACTGGAACAGCACGTCATGTTCTTTCGGTAAAACTTCGTGAAGCACTTCTCCTATTTCATTCACTAGTGGTTGATGCACCCTTTGTCGTAATGCTCATTGCAAGCTCTGAAGGGATGCCTTGGAGTTGCAGAACACAGCCCTTTTTTGAGGTCGGGCTTCCGCGATATAAAGTATAGCACCACGTAAGGAGGCAAGCTCCGCGTCTTTGTATGTTGTCCTATGTGACAGTTAGAACTTTATAATGACTTGGTACGTCGGGATGACAACAGCACCTGTGGAGCTGACAGCCGAGACCGATCCATCGGTGTAAATGTGGCTCCTGTGGCTGTATCTTTTGTTACGTAGCGACAATGTCACCTGTCGTAGAACCACTGTTGAATGACGGCTCTTGTTCGTTATTCCTGGAATAGTGAGGCCCACCTGTGTTTGTTGTAGGCACCACGGAGGTGGCGCTGGTCTTGTTGCTGGAGTCAAGCCAAAAGGAAGGCATTCTCTATGAGCAGAAACAATCTTTCAAAACATCGCTTGTGGTCTTTGAAGCGGCAACACTGCAACATGATGACCAGGAACTCGGCAGAGGTGTCTTATGTGGGCTCTCAAATTTACTGCAGAAATACATTGGTGAAACATATTGGTGGGTGACCACCACTGTAAGTAGTACTCCATAAAGCACTCCGTGAATTTCTCCATGCATGTTGACTCAAGCGATTGATTTGGAAACTTCAATGAAGTGAGTACGCGCGTATATAACGTAGGTCAGCTTAATGAGTGTCTAAGGAGTTGCATGGCTTAGGATACGTGGCCTACTTGGTATGGTGCTCGACGTCTGGCCATCAGGTTGTGACATCGAATGCCAGCCGCTGCGGTCGCATTTTTGATGGCAGCGAAACTGCTTGCCACCCGTGTTTTGCATCGCACTGAGGCCTATGTGATAAAAACACCCGTGTGCTGACAAAGAACATATGGTGTTTGAAATATGGAGCTCTCTACTACGGCGTCTCTCGTAAATATATCTTCATTTTTGAACGCAAATTTGATAAAGTATTATTAATGTCACAAATACGGGTAATATTGCTGGTGTGGCTGTTCTTTAAATCTGGACCTTGATAATATTGCTATCGCAGCTTGACGTTCCAAAGCAAGCATCTGATTATGAAATACGTTGTAGGGGAGGGCTTCAAAAATTTTGACGACCGGGCGCTCTTTACCTGCACTGACATTGCATAGTGCACGGGTTTCTACCATTTACCCTCCATAAAAATGCGACCGCCGTGGTCGGGATCGAACGTGCGACCTTTGAGTGAACAGCCCAGCACCATAGCCACTGTTCCTCTGAGATGGACCCTTAAAACTGTAGATTATGAAAAACAATGCGGTCAGGAAGTTATCTGTTGTTGAAAGGCAGCCACACCAAATTATGGCAAAGTCCACTCACAACGGCAAGCCCCATAGTCATGTTGTTGTGCAACCCCAGAATTTAAATAACCTATGCTTGCTATAATGCTGCGGCTGCTGCTTCTTATACAAATCGTTGGAAGGTGAATGTGCAACCATCCATAAATCTTACGCAGAGATATAAAAATAGTGTGAGCCAAAGTGGGGATCCACAAAACATGACAACCTTCAATCTGAGCCATACTGCCCTGTCCTTTCCATGACAAAAAGCAAAAAAAAACCAATAAAGTACATTGCAAAATGACTGCACCCTAAGCGTGCTATGATTTTTAAAAAACTAATAGCGCATGCTGGACTTCTGCGTGCGTCTTCCTGGAAGCGGTTTCTTTTATGTGGTGGTCGTGTGCCTGGCTTGCGGAGGATCACCGTTGAGTTCAAACCCCCAATTGCTAACCATATTTATTAGAAGCTATAAAGCAAGAGTGATAGCAGTTGCTCTATATGTAGAGTGATTTTTAAATATATGCAAGCTGTATTTTTTACTTCTATCAAAAATACAATTAGCTCCAGCATCGCTCCTGCATGACATCAACAAATAGAATTAACTCGTGCATAGCATCACAAAAGCTAACACAGCGTCCTTGCAGTGGGATCCGCACCTCTCTAACTCAGCTCTATCCAGTAACCTGGGATATTTGTAGTGAGATTATTCTTGAAGCTAACACTTGTGTCCTATTTCATGTGAGTATTTCCAAGGCAAAAATACAGAAAATTGAAACCAACCATTTCGCAAATATGTCAGCACCTTCTCTCAACTTCGCTCCCAAAATGAAAGAATACTGGCCTCTTTTGAGCTTTCTCTAAGCTGTTTTCCGAAGGCAAAACACTTTTATATCACGTACCTCGGTGCAGTTAGTGGCAAGCGGCTCTAAATCGTCTATATTGACGCCCAGGCTCTCGAGAAATGCAGTCTCGAGCTGGCCTAGCAAATAAGGCAGGGTGATGTTCACGGTTGACATTACGAGCCGCATGTTAACTGCGAATCCAGCCATGTCCATGGCGAAGCGCCGTTCGGGCTTGTACGCGTCGTGGAAGCCCAGCACACGGCCATCCAGTGACACCACGGGGGAGCTAACACCGAACTTGCCAATAAGCCCGACGGGCAGCACGCCGACACGCTGAACGCGGGCAACCTGCGTGCGTGATTGGACTGGGTGTACATGTGCTACAAGGATGATTTGCACACTGTAAAACAAGAGCTGAAAAACGTAGGTTGGTTATATGGCTCTGAGTGGAGTAGCACTGCTCGCACATTCATTATCGTCTTTTATTATTAGCAGCAATATGTTCAGTCATCGCCGACCATGCAGTCAGACTTGAACATATTATCCTTCTAGTCTCTTAGTCTTTTTGGCATTCACCCCACAGACTAACATTTGGCCGGGAGTTATGCACCTTACCGCAGTTGGTGTGAGCTTCCAAAAAAAATTTTACCAGATAAATCAGTTGAATCAGTCACAGATACTTATTTGCGCTTCAAAATAATGAAAAGCAGCCACAAATAAAAGCTGTTTATTATGTTGATTGATTCACATTGTGTTAGTGCATAAAAAATTGTATCTGTATGGACTCTATCCTCAACACGACAACGCTTTATATGTTCGACTATGCCTATGGCCTCTGCAGATGCGTTATATGCATTCCGCATATATATGTACGTAATAATCGAGATGATTCTTTCATTTCTTTTTATTTAAGTAATTTTTACCCTTTGCGGTCTCCTTGGTTTTTTTTTCAGTACTTATATTATAATGACTGCATATCCGACGCTTACATACCTACCTTCCAGTATTTTATATGTAAACCAAAATTAAAACCTAGAACTAATTTATTTTTTTCTTGTTTTTTGACAATACATATTTATATTAATGCAAGAAAATGTTGTCACGTGCATACGGGTAAAGCGCAACCTCTGTCCACGAGAACACTGGACGTCGAACCAAACCGATCAACTAAACCATGAGCTCATCGTCTGCTCTTCTTCCTTGTCCTGTCTTCTTTCGCACAAGGGCACATACAAGCAATGGCATAGCTCAATATCGTTCTATGCTTGTGGCACTACCCCTTCCAAAAAAAGAAAGATCCTCCCGATGCCTGATGCTGTATATACCCGAAAGTAATTGCGCACACGCACAAACACGCATGACGCAGCCGTGCAAAGTTGTTCGCCGGTAGTGTGACTTCATCTTCGATGCATGAACAATGCCCACCTTCTGTAAACGATGAGATTGCCGAGGTGTGTCTCCAGGAAGAACTTTGTAGTTTACGACATTGAGACGCCGTAGTATTCTATAAGGACCGAAGCAGCAGTAAAGTAATTTTTCCGAGCAGTCCCTTTGATGAACGAGAATTCACAGCCACACTAGATCGCTGGGTCAGTAAATAACATGGGAATTGTACATCCGCAAGGCGATGTGCATTTGTTTTTGGGTCCGCTTGAGTCCAAGCTTGTGGGCCGCGTCAGCGAGCCATATAAGGTCGTTCGCATCAGTAGTAATGTCAGTGACGTTATGTAAGAGCATAGCATTCAACATCGTAATTGCTTCTCGGAAATGGAGCAACCTGAAAAGAATAAACACTGTAGTCTCTTGAACCACAGTGTCCTAAGGGAACGTTATGTATGGCAGAACGTTATCCCAGCTTTTGTGATTGCTGTCAATGAACATGGATAACATCAGCCAGCATCTTGTTTTATCTACCTGTCAGACCATTGCTTTATGGATGGTATTAGGTCGTTTCGCGATGAGTGGTTTCACAAAGTCTCGTGACGTCTTGCATCAGCTAGGCTGTAGTGTTGTTGCATCGTCAGTGGTGACAATGGTTGGCGCTCCTTGGCGGAAGACGATGTTCTTTATGATGAAGTACAAAGTACGCAATATTATTGTTTTTGTCTCGCTGTAGGGCTTTCGCTTCACAGTACCTCGTCAAATAGTCCCTAGTGACCATGATCCAGTGGTTGCCATCATAAGACTTCGGAAAGGGCCCAGCAAGTCTACGCCGGTTAGTTCCAACGGTTGCGATGGTGGTGCGATGGGCTTTAATAAACGGACGAAGCTCAGAAGTGGGGCTTTATGGCACTGGAAGTCATTAAACGTTTTAATGGAACGCTTGGCATCCTAAGTGAGCTTTGGTCAATAATACTTAGTATGAATCTGGGTTAACTAGTCCTGTTATTTAAGGCGGCAATTGCCGAGATAATTCCAAGGCCTGTAGTATTGTTCCCCTGAATTGTACCTTGAAAGCACGAACAGCTTTAATGGGGTCCTCTTTAGCACCAGTGAACGCCGATTGTGGTTCAAAGGACGAGTCAGAGCTGAGAGTTCATAACAACACAAAATTATACCTGAAATGCGGCAGAACAAACCACACACAAGTATGCACTTTTCGCAGTAGTCCAATAAAATATGGCACCAATCGCATGATACTCAAATAAACAGTCTACACATCACGACTACATACACTCACATCAACGTATACGAAACAACGATGCGTGTTTCCGTGCAATCTCATGCATTAACCAACCAAGACATTTAAAGACTAAAACTTCGTCAAAATCATTCAGTCCAAAGTTTTTGGAACACAGTTTGAATGAATCTCTTTAGGAACCACTCACTCAAAGTCCAGCGCTGCTGTAGTTCCACTACCCCCGAATTTTCTATTCTAGGAAACTTGGTGTAGTCAAATGTATTCACTTCAATAACGAAACTTCTACACCGGTAACACGTCGGCTACTCACGCGCTGCGACTGTAGAACGCGTCTTCGCTCACTGGCGGTAAACACACACTCTTCTGCTTGTAATACAAGCGCTCACCCACAGGTAAAAAACCTCTTCATCTCCTGCTTTGTCAATCTAGACATAAACCTTCGCCCGACGGCGGGAAACTTTCTTCATCACCTGCCCTATGAACGCTGGCGCAAAGGTTTCTTCATCTTCTGATCAGCGCCATCCGCTGCTCGCTTACGTACGTTCGCCTAGGGTTCGAACAGCTTCATCGGCATGCTGCACAGCCAAAGCTGTGTAAGGGTGGTAACTCTCTCGTAAGGCGACACAACTCTGCATAACCATGCCCCTCTTCTTCGAGATTTTTCCAGATCTCGCTCGGTGACGCATGCAAAGAGGTTGACAAGCGTAGCGTGGCTCCTTTGAGGAGGAGAGGCGGTGCACCCGAGGAGTCCTTTAATGCCTCTTTTCTTCTTACACTGGTTGTTTCTGCGTTGAAACGGCGCCAGAAATTGTCGCCATCGCTACGGTTCGGACGGTGCGCGCTTTCTTGAGCACTCGTTTGTGACACTAAGTAAGGGTATCCGTGAAACCCAATGGGTCAGACCAAGGCTCGTCGTGGCAGGCAGATAAAATGCCAACTGAAGGTTCCTTGACATTGGCTAGCCATCAGAGGACGTGGTGTTGTGTAAAGACTCTGAACCGACGGCCACACAGGTGAAGTCGAAACTTTCATATCGCTAAAATATCAGCAAGGCATTCTTTCAGCATGGTCGCGTAGTCGGTTTCCGCAGATGACAGAAGGCCACAATTAAAAGCAACGGGACGCTCTACACCGTCTTGCCACTGCATGAGCACTGCGATGTTGCTTGCGTCAGTGTGCAGTTTTGTAGCGCAATTTATCAAAGTGTCATAATAAGCGCTCAGACTGAAGGCGCTTCCGAAGCACAGAAAAAGCAGTTCTTTGCTCTGGACTCCAGACAAAAAGCAGTATCGTTCTTCGTTAGGTGAGTAAGAGGTTCGGCGATGATGCGGAAGTTCTGAACAAAGCACCTGTACTATGTCGAGACCCAAAAACCAGTACACGTTCAGTTTGTTCTGTTTTTTTCGAGAGGGGGGGGGGCGCGGTAATGAAGCTGGGTCTGGCTGTATGTCATTGTGACTGAAAAGGTGGCCGAGAAACTTCTATTCGTCTTAGCCAAAACGAAAATTCTCCTGATAGGCTTGCCGCTTGAATAACGCCAATGACGGGCGGAAGTCGCTGTGAATGTTGCTCAAATCTTATGTCAGGAACAATGCCATCTAAACAGACAAGGCATGATATGGTGTCATACGAAGACTTCGCAAAGTCATTGATGAACCAGTTTGTGCTGCTGACATTGACACATGTCACAAGATAGCCATACGAGTAACAGTCGAGAGCAACACAATCGTTCGTTTTGTGCACAGAGATAAACGACAGGCCATTCTCGCGAAAGCTAGGAAGTGTCAGATCACAAACAAAATGCTACAGCTTCCTGGATCTGATCAGAGGTGCGTTAATTGCCATTTAACCCGTGCTACTAAGCCACAATTGCTCGCAAGAAAGAAATGTCTTGAAAATTCGCTTGGACTAGCGGGTGCAAGTTTTAGCAAGACAGAATGAATCTTCTAATGCCATCAGGATTGCCGATGAAAGCGATTTGTGCAGAGTATTACCGTAGCTGCATCATTTATTGCTTCATAGATCAAGGTTATGTACCAAGAGCCGACGTATTGGAATTTTAATCTTGCAACGCTAAGTTTTATAACCGACCCCAGAGACTGTCTCTCATCCACTTTACCAAACTAAGCTTCGAAAACAAAGTTGACCACCTTGATAATTTTTTACCTCTCTGAAAACGAGATTAGATGCATTAGTATTTTCGCAGCAGCCGTCTTGATCTCTGTAACTGTGCTTATAACGGTCTCCTACGTCCCAGTGGAAGAGGTTGGCGCCTTGCTGCGTATGTTAAATGCTGCTACCCGCAACAAGTTATGTCTAATTTTATCCAAAAGAAACTATATCACTTTAGGCCAAATATACTGCTGATGATGATGATGATTATGAGTTGTATTTAATGCCGCAAGGGCTCATTGATGGCCAAAAAGCGCCATTTCAATAGACTACAGATATGAACAATGGCATGATTCGTGGCTGTAAAGGGTCCTTAAAATTTCTCGATCTAATGCGGGTAAAAACATGGCAGTACTAAAATCCTAACAATGGCGTGAGATATGTGCAGTGAAAGTGAATGGCGAAATGTTATGATAATAAAACCATGATGCAGATGTACTCACCGAAGCTACGACTAAGGTGCATTGGTGGTGCTACGGATCACCTCGAAATATTGGGTGAAAGCTATGAACATGCTTTAAAAACGTGAAAAGTG